TGGGGAGAGAGGCAGTATAGGGTAGAGCCAGGGATGTTCCTGAACCCACTAAGGTGCACAGAATGGCCCCCACCAATGTCGCAGTGCCATGTTGAGAAACCCTGAGCTAGATTCCAAGCCTCAGGACAAAGCTTCAGCCAAGCTGACTTTTAGGTAAACAATCCAAGGCTCCATTTAATGAGCTTTAGTTTTGTGCTCTTAGATCTCCCCACAGGCATGAGCTCATTTCATCCTCACAAGGACCCTGGGGCATGTCAGTGTTAACCCCATTTTACAGATCATAAAACTAAGGCTCAGGGAGATGAACTACTTTACCTTGCCTCTCTTCCCCCACCCCCCCCATTCTAACTCATTTAAATGAAAATAACCACAGGGCCATACATGGCCAGCATGGTTTTAGAAGATGCAGCTTTCAGGAACCAAATGAAAGGCAAATGGTCAGCAGCAGGTGGTGGCAAATCACTGCAGCATTATATCATCTTTTAAATGACTACTTAGCCAACACTCATTTATGATTTTATTTTTTTAAATAAAAAACGCCCAGGAGGCCAGGAAAAAAGTAAAGATTCCTCAACTTGACAAAGGACACATCTACAAAAACCTACTGCTAATAGGATAAGCACTGGACTGTTAACCACAAGGTTGGTGGTTCCAACCCAAGCAGCTGCTCCTGGGAAACCCTATATAGGGTCGCTGTGAGTCCAAACCAACTTAACAAGCATACTTAGTCATCATAGTCTAAAGGCATCCCTATCCCCTAGCTGATCGGGAACAAGGCAAGAATGTCCACTCTCAGTCCCTCAACATTGTACTGGCCATTCTGAGAAACTACCAGGTGCTGTGAGCCATAGTGACCCCATGTGTGTCAGAGTAGAACTGTGTTCCAGGGGTCTTCGACGGCTGACTTTTTACAAGTAGACCTCTAGGCCTTTCTTCTGAAGTATTTCTCAGTGGACTCAAACTTCCAACCTTTGGGTTAGCAGCCTGGTGTGTGAATGTTTGCACCAGCCATAGACTCCGTTTGAAGTCCTAGCCACTGCAATAAGGCAAGAAAAATAAATCAAAGACATACAGAAATAGCATCACCCCTATTTGGAAATGACATGATGGTGTATTTTGAAAATCCTGAGAAAGAAGCCTTGGTTGCATAGCGGGTTGCATGTTGGGCTGCTAACCACAAGTTCAAATCCACCAGCCACTCTGCAGGAGAAAGAGGAGGCTTTCTGCTCTTACAAAGATTTGTGGTCTCATAAACCCTACACAGGAGCCCTGGTGTGGCGCTGTGGGTGAATACATCAGACTACAAAGTCATTTGAACTGCAGGTTGGCAGTTCAAGCTCACCAGTTGCTCCTTGAAAACCGTATACAGGGTCACTATGGGTCAGAATCGACTCGACTGCACTTAACAAGAACAACAACAACAAAACCTACACAAGGTTGCTATGAGTCAGAATCAACTCAATAGCATGCATCAGCAGCAACAAGAAATCTTAACAACAAAACACGCCTAGAACTAATAAGTGAGTTCAGTAAAGTATCAGGATTCAAGGTCAGTACACAAAATTCAGTCACATTTCTATGTGTTCTCAAGGAACAATTGGAAACTGA